GCAAGGACCTTATCAGCTTACAATCCCTTATTTTTTTTTAAATTTTTACGCCTACAGCACCTGGTCTTTCTAGGTCGTCTCCCATCCAAGTACTAAACAGGCCTGACCCTGCTTAGCTTCCGAGATCAGATGGGATCAGGCTTGTTCAGGGTGGCATGGCCATAGACAATAATTTTAAAATATCGATTGCATGTCAAGATGATAATATTTTGGGTATAGTGCATTAAAGAAAACATTTTAAAATTTCACCTGTTTTACCTGTTTGCCTTTTTACTTTTTAAATGTGCTTACTAGGACATTTAAAATGACACAGGTGGTGGAGATGAGGCTTGACTGCAGTTTGGCACAAGGGATCTTTTTGAGGTGACGCATATGTTCCAAATTGGATGGTGGTGATGGTTGTCCAACTCTGTATTAAAAATCACCTTTTTAATGGTGTGTCAGCTGTACCTGAATAAAGCTGTTTAAAATGGGTGCATTTAATGGTGTGTTGACTGTACCTGAATAAGGCTGTTTTAAAAAAAATTACATATGTAGCTTGAATTCTATTGGATGTGGAATATGTTGGACAGCACTGCTCTAGATCAATGAATCTCAAAGTCTGATGTGCACATGGGTCCCCGGGAGGTGTGGGGGTGGGGGCGGGGATCATGTTAAAATGCAGACTTTGATTCAGTCAGTCTGGATTGGGGCCTGAGAATCTGTGTTTGTAACCAGCTCAGAGGAGGCCTATGTAGCTGGTCCAGGAACCACATTTTCAACCTTTTAAGAACCACTGTCTTATGACTTTTCATTTGATGCTAGATTCTATTTGACTTTTTTCCTAGTTCAATGTCTCCCCACTGGGCTGTCGTCACAATGAGAGCACCTGTGTTCTCTGACTTGTTCGGTTATCCATCCCCACAAGTTCAAATGGTGCCTGGTCTACAGCAGAGCTTGAATTAAATTTTGAGGTATAAAAAGCCAAAAGGTGGAAGCTGGTATACAGCTGTCATCAGGGAGATGGATCCATATGTGTTAATACAGAAAATTGCAGAGCGAGATGTTTTCTCTGCATAAAAAATGAAACTGTCTGTACCCCTCACGGATGCTTGGGTTTGCAGAGGGTGGCTCTGGAAGGGCCATAAAGAACTCTGGTTACTGTTTAATCAGAGCCAGTCACTGGAAATACTGTCCTGGCCACACAGCCACTCCCACAAAGCCCGTGGTATGATGGGAGCTCTAGGGAAGATGGGTGGTCCCCAGGCCTCCCCCATCCCCATGGGGGTTTCTGCTCGGATGTCCCCACGTCTGGGAGCACTCACTGCTCACTGGTCTGCATCAGCTCTATGAGGTCGGAGAAGAGAACATCCCGATTCCTCTCGCAGAAGCCGCTGACATCATAGGAGACCTGGAAGGAGGTGGCATTGGAGGGTGTGAGGGGCTGAGGCTTGAGTGGGTTGGGGGGCTTACAGCCCAGGTGGTCGGAGGTCATGCCCTGGGGTGAGAGGATGGGAAGTTAGGATCTGTGGTTCAGAATAGGGGGCAGGGACAGCAGCATGGGCCTGGGGGCCCTGGAGTTCTGATGTTCAAGTTGAAATTGGAGGGTGGAGCTGTAGTCGGGGTCAGAGGTGAGGGTAGGTAGGGATTATAGTCTAGGTTAGGGAGCAGGAGACTTCAGCCTGGATCAGAGGCAGGGGAGGTGACAGTTATATATAGCCCAGATTTGGGGAACGGGCTGCAGTCTGGGCAGGAAGTGTCCAGGGTGGGGGTTCTGTTACTTAATTTGGAATCAAAAGGTCAGACTGAGTATGTGTGTTGTGGTCAATGGGGTTTGGGGGTCTGTGCTGGGGGAGGGTTACAGCAGTGGCTAGAGATGCTGGGGGACTTCAGCCAGGCTTGTGGGCTGGGTCTGCCATCCAAGGTAGGGGCTCTTTGTCATCTTGGTTGTGGGTGTTCCGTGGCTCAGGGGACACAGGAACTTCAGCCCATTTGAGGGACTGGTGGGCTGTAGCAAGCCAAGGCACCCCTGGGGGTATCTGCCGCTCATGTGAAGGTCAGTGGCAGAGTCTGCAGTCCTCACAATTGGAGAGGGGGACTGTGGCCAGGGTCACAGGCCAGTGGATTTCTATGGCCTTAGGGAGGGGACTGTAGGGGACTCCAGCCCATTTTGGAGGGTGGTGGCTTGCATGGGCCTGGGGGGTCTCTAAGTTGGGGTTAAAAGGTGGTGGGCTGTGTCCTGGGTCAGAGAATTAGTGGGTCTTACAGCTCAGATTGGGGTTTGGGGTCTTCTGCCCAACTTAGGGTCAACGGGAGGGAGTTTCAGTCCTATAAGAGGAGCTGTCCTGTTAGTAGGGGGAGCTGTGGCCTTGATCAGGGGCCAGTGGGTTTCTGCAGCTCTGGCTGAAGGCTTGGTGGGGGGCCCTGGCCAGTTTCTTGGGGTCACTGGTGGGAGTTCCTCTTTCTGTCATCGGGGTAGGGCTGGAGAAGGGTGGGTGGAGTTCTGCATCCCTGGCTGGGGGTACCCAGGGGCTCCTTCCGTTAGGAGGTTGGGAAGCTGCAGCCTGGAGCCCCCTGGGTCTGTGAGGAGGTGCCGCTGGGGGCCACCGGCGGGGTGTGTGTGTGTGTGTGTGTGCGTGCGCGCGCGTGTGCAGTGCACCTTGCCAGCGTAGTGATGGATGACGAAGCCGGCGCTCCAGCTGTTGAAGTGCTCGTGGGTGCCCACGGCCGCCTGTAGCTTCTGCAGCAGCGTCTGGTCGGCACCGCCGCCTGTGGCGTGCATGGTGGCGCACACGTCGTCCAGGACACTCATGATGCCTGGGGGGTTCTGTGGGCATGGAGAAGCGGCAGCCGCTCAGCCTGGCTTGGCCCTACCCGCAACCCAGCACAGAGAGCTTTATCGGGGTGGGGGGACGAGGGGGGGCCTTCTAAATACCAGAGCAAAAGAAGGTGGTGGGGTCCAGGTATGTGTGAGAGGGCTGTGGAAGCTCCCTGGGGCACAGTATGGGGTGAGGGACCCCATAAGGGATCTTTCCCTTCCCCAGACCGCGATGCCTGGTGGGGACCTGTCAGCACTGAGCCCTCCCTGAGCAGTGAAAGGCCAGCAGGTGGGCAGAGTAAGTGGGTGAGGTGGCTGACAGGCTCTGTCCATGCTCCTGGGTAGCGAAGGGCCTACAGGGCTCATTCCCCGTCCTGGCTGTCCTAGGCCTCGCAGGCTCAACCATGGGGCCTAGTGAGACCCGCCCCCAAAGCTGGCCTGGTCCTCACCAGCTTGTTTTCGATGAGGTCACAGACGATTTTGTTGTTGAAGTACTGGATGGGGGTCCAGCGGATGCCCTCCTGTACGTACTCCTCCTGGGGGCGGCAAAGGGGGCAGGGGTGGGGGCAGCTGGCTGGGCAAAGATGTGTGCACTTCTAGAATGTGTGTTCCACGTACATTCTAGGATGGGGGAAGAAAGTGGGGCGGTGTCCCCCCCACCCAACATCTCATCAGTTAGGACAGTCTCCCGTAACAAAGCTCATTGTCCTGCATGGGGCAGGCTGGAAATGCCAGCCGGCAGCCCTCGACCGCAGATAGGAACGGGCTGATAGATACTCTGGCCCCCTCTCTCTTTAGCGGCCAGCTCCGAGGTCTGCTCCACAGTTTCCGTGGGGCCCAGTGGACCTGAGTCCAGTTGCTCCTTAACACACCCGATCTGGGCTCTTTTTAAAAATCCCTCTCCAGGTCTTTGCCCTGAATCCTCGTCTGAGGCTCTGCTTCTGTGGGTGGGGCAGAATGGAAACATTGGGGATTTTTGCGCGGCCTGTGCGAGGTGGCCTCCTAGCACTGACGACAGTGCTGGGCACAGTGCGGGGGTTCAGTAAGTACTTGTCGAGGGACTGAACAAAGGCCGTTCCCCAGTCTTTGTCAAAACTTTAGAGGCAGGAAACCTCTTCCAGATAAAATCTCACAGTGGAGCCCGGACGGATCAGCACGGAGAGGTGGGAATGGGGGTTGGGGTGTCCCTTAGTTGCTGAGAGATCTTTATGGTCCCCGGCATTGTCTGGTGTCCCTGGCTACTTGGTTGCCCCTGCCCACCTGCTCAGCCTTCAAGGTGAGTTCGATAAAGATCTGCTGTAGCTTCTCATTGACAAAGTTGATGCAGAATTGCTCAAAGCCATTTTTCTGCCGAGGGAGGAAAAGAGTGCTTCCTTCAGCGGGCTGCTGCTGGAGGTTCCTGGGATCACTGGGCCACCCTGCGGTCACCACTGGGCCACCACTGGGTCACTCTGTGACCTTGGACACGGGGAGGGACAGTGTGTGGGCCGGGGAGCACAGGCGGTACCTGGAAGATCTCGAAGCCATAGATGTCAAGCACGCCAACACTGTATTCTTCCTGGGGCTTCTGCATAGCACGGTTGATGGCCTGCGATGAGGGTGGGGACAGGAAGTGAGTGTCAGCCTGTCACTCTATCTATGCTCTTAGCCACACTGCCAGGCTATGTCCCCTCACAACAGTTTGTCTCCTGCCTTCCCCAGCTCTGTGCGTACCCCCATCAGTTACCCGCATGAGGAAGCCAGGTGTTAGAGCATTTGGATCTGCCTTGGGAGCTGGCTCTGACCCTTAAACACTCTGCTCCTCTATTTTCTCCCCTTTAAAATGGATTAATAGTAGCAACTATCTTATAGGGTTTTTTTCTAAGAATTAAGTAGATCGATGCATGTAAAAATTACAACCGTAACAGGCACGCACTAGGTATTACGTAATATTAGCTATTGTCATCATTCTTGACCTCGACACATGCTGTTCCCATCCCCCCCATCCAGTCCATCACTTTGTCCTCCTGATGGTCCTCCTCCTGGCTCTCAAAGGCATCCATCCCTCTCCATTGCCACAGTCCCATCCCAGTCCAGGCCTGGATGGCTTCCACAGCCCTCTCCTTTCTGGGTTCCACGCCACGGCCAGAGGGAGCCTCTCGACCTTCCATCTGACCACGTCCTGCCCCTGCTTTGTGCCTCCCACCGCTGGGAATTGGTGAGGCTGTGAAAGTCAAGCCTGCCTCCCTTAGTTGGCAGGTCCCAGACCGCCTTGCCCACCGCTGCACCCTGCCCCACTCGCCTCCACGAGGAAGTCAAAGAGACGGGAGTAGAGCCCCTTGGCCAAGGCGTCACGGGTGTAGGCCGCCTGCTCCACGTTGAGGGTCACGTCGATGGACTCACTACGCCCACCCCAGCGGCTGTCCATCTTGCGGCTGGTCAGCTTCTCTTGCAGCCGCCCACTGTCGATGCCCAGGAGGTAGGCAGGAAAGGCCAGGACTGCCGGGCGGGGTAAAGGGGTGGCTGGTCACGCTCCTATGCCCCTTTCGGTGCTTCTGTCTCTCCCTATTTTGCCTAGTGACACTGAAACTGTCCTCATGGGTTCTCACCCTCAGGGGGTCGAACTAAGAGCGAGCAGTTCCCATGAACCCGTGCCTGCACCCCGCCCTCCCCAGCGCCCACACTCACGGTCCACACTCTCCACCCGGGCGTAATTCCCATCTTCGCAGAAGCTGATGTTTCCCAAGTGCAGGATCCCCGCCACGAGCTGCAGGACCAGCTGCTGGATGTTGGGTGGGATCCCGATGACCTGCATGGCACTCTGTGGGCACAATGGGGACAGAGCCTGTGCCACCAATCCAGGCCTCCATCCTGTCTCCCGGGTCAGGCTTCTGGGGACACAGCGTGGACTCAGAGCATCAGGACACTTAGGTCCCTGCCCTGCCTCTTTCACCTGCTCGCTCTTTGACCTTGGGCAAGTCCCTGCCCCTCTCTGGGTCTCGGTTTCCTGATTTGTAACACCAGAGGTTGCCGGGGCTGGAGTGGCGGCGACTGGTGCTCACCAGAGTCTCGCTGAAGTCGCTCCTGTCATCAGTGCCGTCCACCTTGTAGGTGTCCGATTGGTTGAGGTAGTAATAGTAGTCGGGGGTCATGAGTCCCAGATTCTGCCGCTGCTCCTGGGAGGCCCCTTCCAGCAGCTGGAGGGTGAGCAATGCTCATGTGTCTGGCACGGGACTGGCACAGGCCTTGCGGTGCCCCAGCCCTCACTGTCGTGGGCTCCCAGACGCTGACCCTCCCCCTGTCTCCCCCGGGCTGCAGGTGGGGCGCCCCGTCCTTGCACCTGGTAGTAGATGTGGAAGTTTCTCTCATTTTCATTCTGCATGACCACGCGGGATTTCTCCAGCAGAAAGTTGGAGATCTTGCCCCCATCTGGCTCTCCGCCACGGCTGAACTGGATCTCAAAGTACTTGCCCTGAACCCGAGAGAACCACGTCAGCCTCACAGGGGCCCAGGGGTGCAGCCAGGGGAAGGGTCAGGGATGGGTCTGACGAGCCTGTCCTCTTTCCCCCTATTACCCACGTGACTTTAGATTGCTTTCCTCGCCCTACTTCCCATTTGAAAGGACTTGAAAAGTACTGCTTGTCTTTTTCACCAGTTCCTTCTCTC